TGTGTATATATGTGTATGGAAATATATATGTTCTAAAAGGTTTCCCTGAAACTAATTCACTGATGTTTTCTAATTACTGCTAAATAATGATGTTTATGTCACTTGTGGCCATTTGCAGTGTTTAGGTGAACTTACGGTTTTTGCATTAAATGACCATTATTCATCAGGTGCTGTGAGTTTGCTGGTTGTTTCCCTTTATTTGGAGCAGAGATTTTGGAGACTCCCGTCAATCATTGGAGTGGAAACGTTTCTTCCCTCCTGCATAATTGCATTCTTTGGAAAAAATGAGGATAGTGTGTTTGTTGGTGTATGAGCGTGTATGAAACTTGTGAAGTGAATTTTGGTAATTCAAGAAGTGGCATGCCCTCTTATCACAACTTTCTAGTTTTTTGGAACTTACCAAGGCTTCACTGTCAGTGTCAGGGTAAAAATGTTGTGGGTATATTATTTCTGTTGATCGTTGAGGAATTCAATTTCATTATTCCTTGTATGATTGTTAATTGAAAACGTTTTTGGATGAATGCAGTCTCTTTTTCTTTTTTCTTTTTCTTTTTTCTTTTTTTTTGACAACCCAGTCAACACTATGAAGTCTACTTATTCCTGTTTTCTTTTATGAAAGATATTTTTTTCTTCGTTGGCTTTATTAATAATAGTCACAAAAAAGGTTTTGCATTGGTGAATACCTCCAGCATTAAATAAGTCTTTTTTCCTCAGCATTATAAATTCTGTTATCAACAAACAGTTCGGAACTGTGGTAACAGAAAGTAACTTATGTTATGGTAAAGTATTACAACAGGACAAAGATTTTCAAAGGAACATTTCTTATGTGTATGAACTCTTGGGGTAGGAGAGTATGAGTGGGGGTGAGGTTTTGTTGAAGAGTGTGTTTGCTGACGTAGCACTGGCTTCTTTTGAGATTCTCAAAGGCAGTGTGAGTTTATTTCCTTGTCGTTTGTATGAATAAAACTTTATGCCAGGTTTAATTTGCATGTCTTGTGTGGTCCTGTTGAGGATGAACTGATACCATTAATTATTGACCTTTATGGCAGTGATGAAAAGAAAACTGTGAAATTTGATTTCTAATTTGATACCTTGATTCCCTGAATATATCGATATTTTGTTTCCACTGCATTGACTGACCCTTCAGCCTTATCCTATACATCAGTTCTGTTCTGTACTTCTGCGTCAGTTTTGTTTCCTTGGCTTGAATGGTTTTTATAGAAGGGCACATTGACAGAATTCAGCATCATGCTCTCTGAAAATTAATAATTTTATTTTGTGTATCGTTAAAAGAAGTTGTTTTTTTCTCTGTTTGTTGGTCAATTTGTGGAATTTTTTACCTTCTAGGAGTTTTTTTTTTCAATTAAAGCCCCCTCTCACATCTATTAACTTAGTAGTAATAATAATATCCAATCATGATACAGAAAATAAGTTTATGGCAAGAGGGGAAAATAATGCATTACAAGAGTTCACTAGTTTCGGGAAATAAAGAGTTGAAGTTGAAAGAGTCCCAGGTTTAAAAAAAAAATTGTTGTATAATAAAATTTCCTAGAGGTAGCCACTAGGTCTATCTCTGTGTGTTGCTGTTTTTAATGAAGAGACATTAATTAATGCCAGAAATTATGTATGTGTGTGTGTGTATGTATGTATGTATGTGTGTGTGTGTGTGTGTGTGTGTGTGTGTGTGTGTGTGTGTGTGTGTGT